GACGGCGTGGTCGTGGTCATCGGCCACGGCCACGGCGAGCGGGACGGCGGGGCGGGGCGGGCGAGGCGGCGGGGCGGGGCGGGCGGGCGAGGCGGCGGGTCGAGGGAGGGGGCGCGAGTGCGGGGAGAGGAGGAGGCTAGGGTTCACCACGGGGCTGGCCCTTTTATACCCCTGTGAGCGAAATGACGAAAATGCCCCCGGGGGGCGCTGGAATTACGAGCGGTGGCACGAACGGGGTGAAACTGTTCATTGCAATAGTGCCTCCAAGTTGATCCGACGGCGTAGGTCGTCCTAGTGCTTGATCCGATGGCCCAGATTACATCAAGCAAAACGATCCAACGACCAGAATCACCTGAGTTCTGAGAGCGCTCGAGAACGCCTGGATCCCTTATTTCTCGATAGAAAACAGAAATGTAGCAAACATACATACATACACTTGTTCCTCTCGGAATAATCCCCTCTTACAGTCAACATCATAGACTAGTACTCATAACATTTTCATCGCAAATAACATTAGACAATTGTTCCATGTATTCCCAGTCTACTAGAGCAAATGGAATTCAGAACTTATTATACATTGCAAGACTTTGCACACACCAGTTCTTGCTAGCTTGTGATGAGTGATGACCATATCTACGATCATCATATGATCTCCACACGAAGGGTAGACGATCAGACGGGAGCTGAATTGTCACCTTCTGGTAGAAAAGGGCATAGAGAACGCATGAGGAGAAGGACATGCGTGATGAACTCCCCGCCTGTGCTGAGATGCTGATAATGGAATGCAGCCCCACAACGCGGCGCGGTGTAGTAAAGCATCTCCGACCACACCGCAGCAATGAGTTCCCATCGCTCACCTTGGTCATGAATACCCATGAGCTCCTCAGCCACCTTAGATGCACCAGGCAGTACTGGAGAATACATAGCTGCTGCGGTGTTTTTCAGGAGTTTCTTCAGAACACTAGAGGCATCATCATCTTTGTGGAATGGTTGTTCCTGCTCCTCATTCATCATGGGCGGTGGTTGTTTATTCTTCATGCCCTGAAACACCATCATGACAGCTTCTCCTTCCCCTAGATTATTAGCAATCTGTGGTAGCTGATCTGCAAGAATTTCCTCCAGTTCATCCTGAACTTTGTTATGAACAAGCTGGGAGGCAGTAGTAAGCAGCACGCCACACTTGAAGACAAGGTACATTATATAATTTGACAGCTCTCTGCCCATCAGCTTCTTATCCGAGGAGCCGTGAATGGTCGAATTTTCATGGTAGTAGCAGATGCCTGTTGCAATGTGCCAGATGAGGACGCTTCTGGGGAAATCACTCATATCATTGATGCTATGATGCAGAGCCATCGTCATCGATCTATTGCCGCACCACTCTTGAAGTGCTAGCTGGCCACGGAAATTGGCATAATTATATTGCCTCCTGGTTCCAAAGTTTAGCAAATTACTGAGGACAAACCCCTTGAGATTTTCGGAGACCTCTGTGTATGTTAGGCTTGGATCCAATAGCTCAACACTCCAGGATCTCAAATGCTTGCTGATCCATTGACGCCCACATGGCATGGCTCTAGCATCTTCCATAGAACTCTTGAGCATGTTATATTGCGCTAACTTCTCTGACCATTGTTTTCTGCTCCATGCTGGCTGAATGTAGTTAGCCAAAGTCAAGATCACCCCTTTAATCAAATCCATACCTCGGAAATGGACAGACCTCGCAGATGAAAGAATGGACATGGAGGCAGATGACACATCTAGGATGATGGCTCCGATGAGCAATATGTAGGACACGGTGACATCAACTCTATTATTGATTGGGTGCCCCTTTTCAGCGAGGATGAACAGCACTAGGGCTATCGGGGTTGAAAGATACTGGAACAATGAGGCTACCAACCAGAGAACGCTCACCCAATGATACTGGTTTGCAACACCGAAACTTGTACGACCCGTAAAAATAATAATGCCACCTATCTTACAGAAACGTAAAAGTGGTTTTTTTGTGTAGAACTGCTCATAACATTTTGCCAGTTGTCTGCCCACATACTCATAGGGCCCGTGCAGGCTGCTTGATTTAATCATCCCTAGCATGCCTGGCAGCTCATTTACTGCTAAAACGCTTCCCATTTCAATGAGAGGAGCATCCACTGACATGATTTCTGTAGCATTATCATCCTTTAGAAACAATCTCTTATTCGTCTCACCAAGCATCAAATCAAATTTGGCACCCAACAACCCAATGGCATCCTCTCTTGATGTTCCTGCATATCCTCCTACTTGTGCAGCTGTTGACTCGAGCATGGTTAGCCTATTTGACAACCTGTGCAGGGACTCAACCTTGAGATTTGTTGGGCTTGCTGAGTAAAGGCAGTAGGTACGGCCGGCGTACTTGAGGCTCCCAGAGAGGAAAACAAGCACAGTAGCAGCCAACAAATGCATGTCCGTCCAAGACGACTTGGACACGACATAGCCAGCCACCGCTACCTGGGAGATGAGGCCCAAGAGGTGGCGCTTCCACAACTCGTTGTCCTGCATGGAGAGGGCAGTGATGGTGTCCTGCCCGCCCAGATGGACAAGCAAGAATGGCGCCCAGAAGACAATGAGCTCGTGCCGTGAACGGACAGCGAGATGGCCGAGGATGAAGATGGCCACGGAGTCGGCCGACACATAGGCCAGCCAGAGGAAGGAACCGAGGACGCGTGATGTCATGCGCCTCCGCATGCCTGCTGTGAAGAAGAGGAGGAACTGTAAGGCCAAGCTCGTGAGTATTAAGCAGTGGATCTCCCATTCGTTCCAGAGATTTTTCATAGGCTGCAACCTGTGGAGAGGTCGCCATGTAAGCTGCGCATTCGGTCAATTCGGTAAATATGATTTTGATAATTTGGTGACTTGAATTTTTGTTAGCAACTTTCTCAAAATATGCACCATCGTTATTCTAATTTTGGTGCGACCCCTCGTGAATTGAGACTTATGAATTTCACTAAAAGAGTCTCATGAGCTCGTCAGGTATTCAAAATACTAGTAGTAGATACTATGATATAGTAGGGTTGGCTTTTTTTCTTCTGGTTTTCGGATTTTGTTTGGTATTTTCTAGGTTTTCCTGTAAATATTGGTTCTTTTGTTTTCCGCGTGTGAAGCATGTTGCGTGAAAGCACAATTTGTGCTTCATGGTGAAGCAGGATTAAGCTTTTGCATGAAGCACAAATTGTGCTTGTCGAGAAGTAAAACGGCATTGTGCTTTCGCGTGAAGCACAAATAGTGCTTTCTGAAAAGTGAAAACAACAGTTTGTGAACCGCATGAAGCATAAATTGTGCTTCCGAAAAAAAGTAAAAAAGCACAGTTGAGCATCGTTGAAGCACAGTTCTACTTTCGCTTGAAACATGAATTCTAGTTCCAAAAAAAATGAAGCACGGTTGTGCTTCTGTTTTCATTTATTTTTGTTTTATTGGTTTTTTCTTATTTCTTTAGAATAAACGTTTGTTTAAGCCTATCAACATGGAATCTAATTTTGAAGATCTCGACGTGAGAAACGACATGGGATATAATTTTGAAGATCTCGATGTGAGAAACAACATGGGATCTAATTTTGAAGATCTCGACGTGAGAAACGCAAAATAAATGGTTCATGATTTGAACACACAGTTTAAGAGATAAAATGTTTTGAAACAAAATACACAAAACTTTTTACAAAACTTTTAGGTTGTGACAAGTGTTGCATATACAGTGCACTACTTGTCACCACCAAATAAGGTAGAAGTGCCCTTTGCAAGGGGTTCCGATTTCCATAGGACTCGCATCTGTCTTTAATTGACCCATGAAATACAAGCATGGAGACCTGAGCCGTCGAAGCATTAGCTATGGGACGACCAAAGGCCCTTCTCCAACTCTCGGTTTCTTTCATTTTACCGATTTCATTTGATTATTAAGTGATGGGTGCAAACTTTCACCCGTGCCATCACACACTTATCATAGTCTGCACTAATTTTTTCTTAATATAGTATTGCCAATTCATTATTCGTGAACATTTTTCAACTCCTTATATTTTTTAAAAATTGGAACATTTGGAACGTTCATGAATAGCTTTTCATATCATGTACAATATTTAAAGTCATAAATATTTTCCAAATACAAAATTATTTTCAAAATAGTGAACATTTTTTTGAATGAAGGAACATTTATAGAATATATTAAATTTTTTTCGAAATTCTTCGATATTTTTATAAACTTGGAACAATTTTGAAAATTTTAAAATAGTTTCAAAAACTAGCAAATATTTTATTAAACACTGGATTTTTACCAAAACCAATAAATATTTTTAAAATTCACATTTTCTCTAAAAAATCATGAACAATTTTTTTTGAACTTTCTAAAAGTATGGATCCTTTTTACAAATTTTTATTTTTTCTTTATGGTTTTTGGGGAAACCCCAACTTAAAAACAAACATTTTTCTCTTAGTATGCGAGCACTTTACCTTGCTTACTCCAAGACGGAAGAAGCTCTCGCTTTAACCATCCGGAGTAATGGGCCAGCCCACTCACACACACTTGAAAGAAGAGGGAGCACCCATTGCCAGGATCGATCCCTAATCCCGGAGGTGTTATAAAGCGATTGCTAGCCATTGAGGCACTGTCATGTTCGTGCTACAATAAAAGGCGCGACCAACTTGAGGGTAAAGAGGAGGCGGAGGGTGGAAGCTTCTAGAACCAAGATTTTCATCCAAATTGTACATTTTTGGTGTATGTCCACTAAGTTTCTAGGGAAACAAAGAGGAGGCGGAGGGTGGAGCTTCTAGAACCAAGAGGCCGCCAGTGGGAGACCAGACGCTGCCTCCGCACGTAGCCTACGCTTACGGCGTCACCCTCTTCTCCTACCTGGCTGTGTTTGGCAACTCCGGCTGGCCCGCTCCTGACCTCCTTGTCGGTGCTGGGCCGGCCCATTTTCCTTTTTATTTCTATTTTACGGACACAAACATCAGTGCGTGCACGTGCCGCGATTCGAACAGGGGATCTCCAGGTTCAACGCTGCCATAACCAACCAGCCACCTGCTGTTTATATGTTTAGTTATAGCTTTTTACTTCTCTTCCTCTTTCCTTTTTTTTGCTGGAACGGTTTTGTTTATTTTTTCTTTTTATAGTTTTATTCATGTCAATTTAACTTTATTTTCCTAAAAACATTAATACATCAATTTTTCTCCCCAATTTGTGAACTTTCTAAAAATTTGATGATTTTTTTTTCCAAATTCAACGAACCTTTTAAAATTTGATTATTGTTTTTTCAAATTCAACCATCTTTCTTCATATTCGATGAACTATTTTTCAACTTCAATGAACTTTTTTCAAATTTAAAGATTTTTTCAAATTCAATGAACTCCTTTTGAAATCCGTTAAACTTTTTGAAATTTGATGATTTTTTTTCAAATTTGATGGAGTTTTCTCAAATATGTGAACTTTTTTGAAAATTCACATACATTTCTGAATTCATGATTTATTTGTTTTTTTAACAAAATCACCTTTTGATTTTGTTATTTTTTTGGCAGTCCGCGAATGACCAGTCAACTTGTTCACCTTGATAGACCAAACCAGAGAAACGCGATCGATTGAACTAGGGAAATCAGTCGTCAACGATTTTGTCTACTTGTTGGGCTGGTCAACGAGCTGAGGCGCGTGGGCGCCAAGAAGCCAGAACAGCGCTTAAAGCACCGTAGAGGAACTCCCAAATAAGTAAGGTAGGGTCCTCATAATAGGCGCTGCATGTGCCCCTTTCACGAAGTCGCGTACTAGGCCAGCCCAGCTTGCTGGGCGCTCGCGATCACTGCTTACTTCTCGACCGCCGCTTCCTTCGTGCACATGGATTTCTTGAAAAAGAAATTCGAACAATTATGCCAGCTTTAAAAACTTCAACGACTTTTAAAAATTATCAAATTTGAGTTCACAACATTTAAAAAAGTTCCATACCTCGTCGATTAATTAGAAAGCTCATGGATTTTGAAAATAAGTCCGCAAACTATGCTCCTCAATATATAATTAAGTTCATTTGTTTTAAAAAAATTCTTAGCATTTGTAAAATGTTTGATGATTTTGAAATAAAAATAATCAATTTTGATAAAAAAATATATCTGTTTTAAAAAGTTCATTGAATTTCAAAAAAAGTTAATCAAAATTGAAAAAATTCACCGAATTTATAAAATGTTCACCAATTTTGAAAAAAAGTTTATCAATTGTCAAACATGCCCATCGAATTACAAATAGTAATAAAAATGATAAAGAAAGTTCGTGAAAATTGAAAAGTTCATTTAATTTGAAAAATAATCGCAAAAGTTAACAAAAGATTCAGCATATTGGAAAAAAAGTTCCTCGGTTTTGAAACAATATTCATCAAACTTTGAAAATGATCATCGAATTTAGAAAAATCATAAAAATTGCAGAGTGTCATTGATTTTAGAAAAATCATTGTTAATTTTTTTTCATCATATTCAAAAACGTTTGTGCATTTTCAAAAAAAAAGAAAAAGGGAAAAAAAGGGAAAATCACTGCTTTGCGTATCCTTATGTTAAAAAAAGAAAAATAAGTTGCCTTGTCATAGCACGAGGGGTGGCCAGTTGGTTACCTCAATTTAACTATAACAGAAAAGAAAAAAAGTCCAAATGGGCCGCCCAACGCCGTTTAGGATTTGCCAGCGAGGTATAGCTGTGCCCCTCTTAATAACAATACTGATATTTCTCAAAAAAAAAGTAACAATACTGATTCGCTCAAATAATAGTAACAATACTGATAATCAACAACTCTAACTTTTTCTGAGACACTATAACTACATTAATGGGTCTCTTGGTTTTGGTTCGATTGCTTAGTTTATCAAATGATGGTCCAGCCCGTCGAAATAAAGGAGCAAATTTTTTTAGAACGAAAGCTCAAGGGAGACCGGCTTTGAATTAACCAAGCCATCAACTGGCCAGGGTTACAACTCCAGATTACAACCACACCCCAACTTAAAGGAAGGAAAGCAAACGGCAAATATACAAGGGCGCCTAGGAGCAGCTCACAAAGGGCATACAACAAGCTAGCTAGAAGATGGACATTAGAACACATAGCTAGAGATGCCAGGCACCCCTAACACGCCGAGAACCAAGGCAAAAGCGCTAAAGGGAAGGAGCAATTTACCATTGGTAGACTCTGACTTGCTTTTTAAATATTGTGCAAAGGTCCTATGACCCGCCTTCTGCGGTGAACAGTCAGTATAAGGCCCGAAGGACGGTTTTAAGGGCCAATACACATCTGTAAACTGGCTTCAATTAATTGTTTCCCTCCTTCTGAAAAATCCTAACTGCCGGTTTCTTATAGATTAAAAAATCTAAAAATTCGTAAAATAATCTTAATTTTTGAAAATTCCTTGTTTTTTTGGAAAAGTTGAAGTTAGAAAAAAATAAAATTTCAAAACTTTGGAAATTCAAAACAAGTTGCAGATTTTTTAAAATAATCATTTATAAAATGTTCAAAATAATATGAAAATTGTTCTCTATTATAAAATAACTTCATTAATATGAAAAGATATTTACGAATTAAGGAAATGTTAATGAATTAAAAAACAGTGTTGGGAAAGTTTTTTTAAAAGAAACAATTAAAAAGTGTTAAGGATTTAAAAAAAATATGAATTGGAGTTCAGTGCTAGGCGAACTGAAGGAAAAAGTCATCCTTGCCACTATATTGTCAGTGGGCATGAGTACAACATGGGCTACAATCTATTAACAATATCTATTCTCCGTGGACTGCCTTTGCGAACACCATCTCTAACCTAGTTGGCCAGAAAAAGTCTCACTTTGCCCAAAGGCAAGTAGCTAGAAATGATGTTGAGAGGACATTTGGAGTTCTGCAGGGACGTTATGCAGTTGTTCCTGGGCTTGCTAAACAATGGGATCCTGAGACCTTGTGGGAGGTGATGATCCGTTGTGTGATCATGCATAACATGATCGTGGAGGATCAAGGTGAGGATGTACTATAGGTCTTGAATTTTTGAGAACATGTGTGATCCTATCAAACTTCCAAATCAGAATCCTGCCACATTTGAAGAGTTTGTTCAAATGCATCAATAAATTCGGGATCGAGTAACTCACGAGCAACTGAATGAGGATCTGATTGAGCATCTGTGGGCAGTCAAAGGGGACAACAGTGTAATATTTGAACTTATTTAAATTAGAATTGAACTGCTCCCTCCCTCCCTCCCTCTCCTCTCTCTCTCTCTCTCTCTCTCTCTCTCTCTCTCTCTCTCCGCTTAAATATTTTGGTACAATTCCTCTTTCGTCCCCGTGGCATCAAACATTACTTGATTAAATTCCTTGGTTTTGTAATCCAATAGGATTCTAGACAACATTCCAGTTCAACCATGTGCTTTTGTATTTAGCTGTTTTGAGAATTGTACGAATCAGAGAAGCCAAAAAAAGAGGTCCACGAGGGTTGTATAATTCTTGCATTTTTTTCTTTGAAAGCAAGATCAAAAAACTTTCTCCACTTTTCGTTTGGTCCATTCCTTTCAACCAAATGAATGAATAGTGCTATTAAAGGAATATTTCCAATTCCTATACTTTTGGGATGAACCAAGCAAGACCTACACTACGTGCATCAAAATAAGATTTCCATATTGGGTGTGCCAATTTCATAATTAAATTCCATAATATGGTACAACTATAAATTTGGTAAAAGTACGTCTAAGCATATACTAGTGAAAACATACTGAAATTAGATGGTTACAGTACCAAAAAAGATAGGAGAAATTGTGCCACGTTACCTTAGTTTTCCCTTCAGATTTTCCCCACCGACAGCTTCAACATTTCTCAGAACTCTCATTATTTCAGTAAGGTGGATAAAAAACTCGCGCCACATGGAACATATGGAGTCTTGCTCCACTGAACCCATATATAAATATGTACATGGTAGTGTAAATCGCAAGGTTTGAGTGCCAATATATGCTTTGCTTCCACGGAGAGCAACCGTGCACGTGTACCAGCAAAGCTGCATCGGAGAGGGGACGACACACGGCACACCACTCAAGGAAATTCATTATGGACAGAACTATACTGTACTTCGTCGTCCTCTGAAAACCAGTCATATCCAGCCTCAGTAAGTCCATCTTCGTAGAAGTTGACGGATCAATTTCAGTAGCGACATATAGAGCCGCACAGGCCGTGCCACTCGTGGCATCATCATGCCTGAAAAGGGAGGCCAATATCTGTTGAACTCCACGATGTGTGTCATGCTGTCATGTCATGATAGTTACCACCGTGTGGAAAAGAAGGTGTGCCATCACCTCCGCCACAGCTCGATTGAGCGGCTTACAGTTCATTACCCAGTCCATATGGAGAGTAGACGTACGAGTATTCCTTGCCTTCTATTTTGCTTTTATTTTGCTTACCGTACGGGATGAGTATTCCTTGCAGGTCTCCGATTACGCGACTGCTCGTTTCCCATCGTCTACTTCCTCTACGTCCGCGTCGCCTTCATCATCACCATGTCCACCGACGCCGACCGTGCCGCCGCCGAGAAAGCTGAAGCCGACAAGAAGGCCGCCGAGGACGCCGCTGCTGCCACCAAAGCCGCGGCCTCTGCATGGCCTACTGGAGGGTATAACTCGTTTATCCCGCTCCTGATTAATTTCATATTAGCTGTACTAGCAGTATGTGTAGATTTGTCTACTGTTTGCTTAGTACGTGCATGTTTAGATCAAAGTCAGTACGTCATCAACTTAGTCAATGCCATGCTAGTGATTTACTCGTGGATTAATTTAATCGAGAAATTGCCTATTTACTCAACAGGTCCTACCTCCAGAAGTCCAACAACCCCCTCGCACCAGAAAGTTTCCATAGCTCAACCTGGTCACTGATGCGGCGATAAAGCTCTCTAGCAACCACCGCTGACCGCTCGAAGACATGACTATTACGCTCCTTCCATAGCATCCAGACGATGAGGAGGGCAAACGAATCAAACCCCTTCCTCCGCTCCTTCGGGATCATCGCACGACTGGCTGGCCACCGCTCTATGAGAGTTGCATCCATGGTGGGCACCAACTGGCCGAGGCCGCACCGTGCGAGGGCAGAGTGCCACACCTCCCTGGCAAACACACAGCCCAGTGCCAGGTGGTCTGCAGTCTGAGCCTCCTGCTTGCATAATGGACACATGACGTGGGACTGGAGGCCATGTAGAAGGCGTCTGTCTGCCGTCCAAATCCGACGCCTCAAAAGGAAATGTTCTCTTTCAAAAGGAAATGTTCTCCTCACTTTGCTTCTGTTTGAGGTATGGCATAGTCTTTTCGTTAGGGGAATCGATTTTCCTTGCTGCGGTCCTAACTCCTAAATGCAGCTGTAGCTTTTACATCCTTTGCCCTTGATGCGAGGCTGTGTGCACCACTGGGAATCGTTCCTTTGCTTATGTCGCAAGAAAGAACATGGTTTTCTTCTATTTTAGGGGCGAGCAAAAAAAAAAAGAAAAAAAGGACTGCTCTCCGTCCCATAATATAAGAACGTGGGAATGGCTATAGCTGAGGCCGCTGGTGTGATGGTTGGCCAGCATGGGGCGTTGGAGCTCAAGGCCGCGCCACCTCTGCCTCCCTCCAGTGGCCGCACGGTTGCAGATGTGGGCGGGTTGGGCTTGATCTGGGCTCACCCGGGCCTGCCGCGGGTCGTGAGGCTGGGGCGGCAGATCCTCGCCGTCCTGACTGTGCGGTGTAGTCCTAAAGGAGGCTGCTGCCTGGACTCCGGTGAGCGTGCAGCGGCGGCTGCGGGCAGGCGGACATGCTCAATCTGGACATGCCCAGGCCCGCGTTGGTGCTTACGGTCCATCTCAGGACGGTGCAAGGTGCTGGGGCAGCGCGGAGTTGGTGCAGTGCGGTTGGCTGGTGAAGGTGTGGTTGCGTGTGGATTCTCGAGATGAAAGTCTTCCTTGAGGCCAGTGATGGTAACATCTATGGATGATGACGAAAGCACTATTATTTGAAACAACAAAATGTAACAATGTATACTATCGACCAACAAATGAAGACTCATCAAAGAATGGCATGCAAAAGGTAGCGCTAAGAGTATCTCCACCCGCGCCCCCAACAGGTCCCCCAAGGCCATTTTTAGTGTCGGCGCCCAAAAATCGGCACAGTCGCGCCCCCAGGAGCCTAAATTTCGCTTGTTAGGGCCGAAACTGACACTAGCGGACCCAGGCTGAACCCGGCGCGCTGGGGCCCCCGAGGGCGTTTGGCAATCTTTTTTGGCGCGAAAGAACGGCGGGCCCGCCGAGTCAGCGAACCCCGCGCCTCGTCGTACTCATCGCCTCTATTTCCCGCGGGGAATCAATGCCAAGGCTGCCGCAGGTCAGCCTTCCATTGATTCCTAACGGGCAACGCGGAGGGGCGACGCGCCCCCTCCCGCCACGCGTACACACGACGTCCCCCCTCCCCCCGCCGCTATATAAGCCGCCCCTGCCTCTCTGGTGAACGCACCCCGACCCGCATCCCTCCTCTCTCCCGTGCACGCACAACCGTCGCCGCTGCCGAACTCTCCCCCCCCCTGTCGGTGTCAAAACCGGCGGATCTCGGGTAGGTGGTGGTCCCAAACTGTGCATCTAAGGCTAATGGTAACAGGAGACTGGGGACACAATATTTACCTAGGTTCGGGCCCTCTCGATGGAGGTAATACCCTACTTCCTGCTTGATTGATCTTGATGATATGAGTATTACAAGAGTTGATCTACCACGAGATCAGAGAGGCTAAACCCTAGAAGCTAGCCTATGGTATGATTGTTGTTGTTCGGTCCTACCGACTAAACCCTCTGGTTTATATAGACACCGGAGGGGGCTAGGGTTACACAGAGTCGATTTACAGAGGAAGAAATCTACATCCGAATCGCCAAGCTTGCCTTCCACGCCAAGGAGAGTCCCATCCGGACACGGGACGCTAGTAGAAAACAGGGCTACCGTTCGGCCCTGGCCATCCTATTAGTCCCGGTTCTTCAAAAACCGGGACCGATGGGGGGTATTAGACCCAGTTCGTGAGCCCAGGGGGCCGGCCGGGGCCTTGTGGGCATTGGTCCTGGTTCGTGTGGAACCATTTGTCCCGGTTCGAGCCACGAATCGGGACAAATGATCCTTGCTGCTGGCCCACAACCATTGGTCCCGGTTCGTGGCTTGAACCGGGACAGAAGGGTTGGCTTTAGTCCCGGTTCATGCCACGAACCGGGACAAATAACTTGCCTACATATACCCACCGTCGCGGCAGAGCACTCGACAGTGCTCTGTTTTTGTCAAGCCGGCGAGGGGAGGGCATTTGGGTGCTCTAGTTCACCTCCTATGCACATGAGGTGTTTGATGAAATGCCTGAGCCACACTAGTTAATCTTTCTCCTCTCAAAACTCGACCTCTGAGCTTCATTTTCAACGAGATTTGTCTAGATTTAGCGGTCCGTCACGCCCCGTCCCCGCCCCGTCTTCACCGCCGTCGATCGCCCGCCCCGATCTCGTCGCCGGCACCACCGTGGTGAGCCTCTTGTTCTTATCTTATTTCTGAAAGAAAAAAATTCTGACTTCAGATAGATACTTGTCTAATTTTCTTACTTTTATTATTCCTTGTTATTATATAGTGCGATGGTTTTGCTATCCGCCCCCGTCGGCCCTTGTCCTGTCTATGATTCAGATGTGGTATATATTATCTTTTCATAACTATTTGGTTCAATTATTGTTTATGACAATTATGCCGACCAATGTGACATAGATTTTATTTATCTAGGAGGTTGTTGAACCGGAAATTCCAACCGACCCTATTGTCGACAGGTTAAATTTAGTTGAAGAAGAAAACAATTACATGAAGGAAAAAATAAGAAAAATTGAGGAGGAGAAGATGATATTGGAGTTGCATGTTGCGGATGTCGTCGATGATCACAAGATCAAGATGGATGCAATGCGGTTGAAGATTAAAAAATTAGAAAATATGTCATTTATACCGAGGCTTGGTATCATTATGTAGTTGGATCAGTTGTTACCTTGGTTGCGGTTATGATCGCATTTATTTTTGCATTGAAATGTTTTACATAATTTCAATGCATAGTTTAATTAGATGCTCTGGAGAGCTATATGTTGTTCAATGAGAACTATGTATGTACTTTGATTTTAATGCTATGGAGAACTATGTATGTACTTTGGTTTCAGAGTTTATTTCAAATGCTTTTCAGCTTCATGGTCTTACATCTTTGAATGGTGCATTTTGAACACAGAAAAACAAGGGAGTTCAAATAAGTTCAAAAAATTGAAATCCCTTTGTAACAGACGAGTTTTCGTATGAAACCCTGATACTTTGAAAAAGATTGTCTGTTTTGTACACGAAGTGCATCCAGTTTTTGCCGTAAGCCTCTCTACTTTCTTGCACATGCTATGTGGGTGAAATGATGATACCATGCCAACTTGGAACATTTTCAGAGTTCATTTCAAATGCTTTTCAATTTCATGGTCTTATAGCTCAAAATAATCAGTAAATACATGAAAAACAACAAATGAAGTCAGAAAGGGTTGTAAATTGATGATGTGGCTTTGAATGGTGCATTTTGAACACAGAAAAACAAGGGCGTTCAAATAAGTTCAAAAAAATTGAAATCCCTTTGTAACAGACGAGTTTCCGTATGAAACCCTGATACTTCGAAGGAGATTGTCTGTTTTGTACACGAAGTGCATCCAATTTTTGGCGTAAGCCTCTCTACTTTCTTGCACATGCTATGTGGGTGAAATGATGATACCATGCCAACTTGGAACCTTTTCAGAGTTCAGTTCAAATGCTTTTCAATTTCATGGTCTTATAGCTCAAAATAATCAGTAAATGCATGAAAAATAACAAATGAAGTCAGAAAGGGTTGTAA